ACAAAACACCTATGATCAAAGCCGGACACAGCGCTTGTGATCAAACACCAGTTGATAGACCACCTGTGATCAAAGACCCTCTGCTGAGAAAACACCTGTGGTCAAACCCCCTATGGTCAAACCCCCTATGATCAAACCCCCTATGGTCAAAGCACCGCTATGGTCAAAGCCCCGCTGTGGTCAAAACCCCTATGGTCAAAGCCCCTATGGTCAAAGCTCCGCTGTGGTCAAACCCCCTATGGTCAAACCCCCTATGGTCAAAGCACCTGTGGTCAAAGGTCCTAGGACCGTGATAGTGATAGAGAGGAAGAGAGGGGACTGCAAAGGCGCGCTTGCAGCTTGTTTTCTAACTGATCCCAGAAGAGAATAATATATATAGATGTATTATAATCGTGAAAAAATTGAAATCCGGATTTTGAATTTTTTTTGTTTTACAAGCTTCCGGTATTGGAAAAATTAACTTCGTGTGTGTGTGTGTGTGTGTGTGTGTGTGTGTGTGTTTGTGTGAGTGTGTGTGTGTCTATAAACTGAGTATGGTTCCATTATGTTTACCAAGTTTCATATAAAAATGTTGTATTACATTTGCATTTTTCTATCAACTTTTGAGCGATTTCCGGTAACTGGAAGTGGTATATACTCTACTTCCGGGCAATTTAAGTACCATTAAAGTTAGGTAGACGACATTTGACACTGTTGTGAACACACGGACACGTTTTACGGGTGATCCAGGGCGTCACGCACCATATAAGACAAACAACAACACACGGGTTACAGAACATGAGACTGAATAAAACAAAGGCTCGTTAACACTAACACACACCTCATATACACACCTCATATACACACCTCATATACACACCTCATATACACACCTCATATACACACCTCATATACACACCTCATATACACACCTCATATACACACCTCATATACACACCTCATATACACACCTCATATACACACCTCATATACACACCTCATATAACACCTCATATACACATCTCATATACACACCTCATATACACACCTCATATACACACCTCATATACACACCTCATATAACACCTCATATACACACCTCATATAACACCTCATATACACATCTCATATACACACCTCATATACACACCTCATATACACACCTCATATACACACCTCATATACACACCTCATATAACACCTCATATACACACCTCATATAACACCTCATATACACATCTCATATACACACCTCATATACACACCTCATATACACACCTCATATACACACCTCATATACACACCTCATATACACACCTCATATACACAAACCAGACTGTTACAACTCACCATGGGACGAACGGAACAGGGTACAAAGTACAAACAACATAACCCCCCCCCCCCATTGACTTATCTTCACTTATTCACTACAACGTAGTAGTATTAAATTGTATACGCAAGGTTTTCTCAACGTTTGAACGATTTCCCTGAAAAAAGGAAGTGGCACTTTATTTCCGTGGGAACACGACAACTGCAGAACTTAGACAATATTTTATGTATAAGGAAAAAAAACCTTATACCTGGATCACTTAAAATTTTTGAGTGACTTCCGATATTCGGAAGTGGTACTTTACTCAATGTCTTATTTCCATAAGTACAAAATACCAATAACTTGAGTACTGTCTATTTTGGCTAGAAGAACTTTCGTACATAAGTATATGATCTTATTAGCTGTTTGTCACATTTGATCGATTTCCGGTGACTGGAACTAGTAGTTGATTAGACTCACACTGTTTGCGTTCAGTCGAGCCTAATCCCCTGCGTGATTCTATTATGTTTAAGACATTTAAGTATTTAAAAAAAATATTTAAAGAAAATATTTCTATAGCCCTGGAAGTGCCATCCATCTACTGGTTCATAAGGATATTCTATGAGAAAGTTTAGGGGAGATCACTCACACTACTCCTCCAAATATTGTTTATCTTTATACAAATATCTTTTTATCCACTCACAGGATAACAAATTGATTAGAACAGCTAATTATGGAAAGTTTTTAAAACCCGGAAGTTTGGTGGTATAATCTGCCGGTAGCCACACTTACGGTAGCCACATTAATTGTAGCCACACTAACGGTAGCCACACTTACGGTAGCCACATTGATTGTAGCCACACTGACGGTAGCCACACTAACGGTAGCCACACTGACGGTAGCCACACTGACGGTAGCCACACTGACGGTAGCCACACTAATGGTAGCCACATTGATTGTAGCGACACTAACGGTAGCCACACTTACGGTAGCCATATTGATTGTAGCCACACTGACGGTAGCCACACTGAAGATAGCCACACTGACGGTAGCCACACTGAAGATAGCCACACTGACGGTAGCCACATTTACGGTAGCCACATTGATTGAAGCCACACTGACCGTAGCCACACTTACGGTAGCCACACTGGCGGTAGCCACACTGACGGTAACAACACTGACGGTAGCCACACTGACGGTAGCCGCACTGACGGTAGCCACACTGACGGTAGCCACACTAATGGTAGCCACACTGACGGTAGCCACACTGACGGTAGCCACACTGACGGTAGCCACACTGACGGCAGCCACACTGACGGTAGCCACACTGAAGGTAGCCACACTTACGGTAGCCACATTGATTGTAGCCACACTGAGGGTAGCCACACTTACGGTAGCAACACTGACGATAGCCACACTGACGGTAGCCACACTCACGGTAGCCACACTCACGGTAGCCACACTCACGGTAGCCACACTGACGGCAGCCACACTGACGGTAGCCACACTGACGGTAGCCCCACTGACGGTAGCTCTACTGACGGTAGCCACATTGACGGTAGCCACACTGACGGTAGCCACACTGACGGTAGCCACACTGACGGTAGCCACACTGACGGTAGCCGCACTGACGGTAGCCACACTGACGGTAGCCACACTAACGGTAGCCACACTGACGGTAGCCACACTGACGGCAGCCACACTGACGGTAGCCACACTGACGGCAGCCACACTGACGGTAGCCACACTGAAGGTAGCCACACTTACGGTAGCCACATTGATTGTAGCCACACTGAGGGTAGCCACACTTACGGTAGCAACACTGACGATAGCCACACTGACGGTAGCCACACTGACGGTAGCCACACTCACGGTAGCCACACTCACGGTAGCCACACTGACGGCAGCCACACTGACGGTAGCCACACTGACGGTAGCCCCACTGACGGTAGCCCCACTGACGGTAGCCACACTGACGGTAGCCGCACTGACGGTAGCCACACTAACGGTAGCCACACTGACGGTAGCCACACTGACGGTAGCCACACTGACGGTAGCCACACTGACGGTAGCCGCACTGACGGTAGCCACACTGACGGTAGCCACACTAACGGTAGCCACACTGACGGTAGCCACACTGACGGTAGCCACACTGACGGTAGCCACACTGAAGGTAGCCACACTGAAGGTAGCCACACTTACGGTAGCCACATTGATTGTAGCCACACTGAGGGTAGCCACACTTACGGTAGCAACACTGACGATAGCCACACTGACGGTAGCCACACTCACGGTAGCCACACTCACGGTAGCCACACTGACGGCAGCCACACTGACGGTAGCCACACTGAAGGTAGCCACACTTACGGTAGCCACATTGATTGTAGCCACACTGAGGGTAGCCACACTGACGGTAGCCACACTGACGGTAGCCACACTGACGGTAGCCGCACTGACGGTAGCCACACTGACGGTAGCCACACTAACGGTAGCCACACTGACGGTAGCCACACTGACGGTAGCCACACTGAAGGTAGCCACACTGAAGGTAGCCACACTTACGGTAGCCACATTGATTGTAGCCACACTGAGGGTAGCCACACTTACGGTAGCAACACTGACGATAGCCACACTGACGGTAGCCACACTCACGGTAGCCACACTCACGGTAGCCACACTGACGGCAGCCACACTGACGGTAGCCACACTGAAGGTAGCCACACTTACGGTAGCCACATTGATTGTAGCCACACTGAGGGTAGCCACACTGACGGTAGCCACACTGACGGTAGCCACACTGACGGTAGCCGCACTGACGGTAGCCACACTGACGGTAGCCACACTAACGGTAGCCACACTGACGGTAGCCACACTGACGGTAGCCACACTGAAGGTAGCCACACTGAAGGTAGCCACACTTACGGTAGCCACATTGATTGTAGCCACACTGAGGGTAGCCACACTTACGGTAGCAACACTGACGATAGCCACACTGACGGTAGCCACACTGACGGTAGCCACACTCACGGTAGCCACACTGACGGCAGCCACACTGACGGTAGCCACACTGAAGGTAGCCACACTTACGGTAGCCACATTGATTGTAGCCGCACTGAGGGTAGCCACACTGACGGTAGCCACACTGACGGTAGCCACACTGACGGTAGCCACACTAACGGTAGCCACACTGACGGTAGCCACATTGACAGTGGTTGTAACAACAAATCACCAGAAAATATCAAACAGCTGACCGGCAACAGCGTACAGCTAACGGGCAACAGCATATAGCTGACCGGCAACAGCATATAGCTGCCCGGCAACAGCGTACAGCTGACCATCAACAGCATATAGCTGACCGGCAACAGCATATAGCTGACCAGCAACAGCATATAGCTGACCAGCAACAGCATACAGCTGACCACCAACAGCATACAGCTGACCAGCAACTTGTCATATACTGCACCATGCTATAAATATGATACGGTCAACAGAAAATGGAAACAAAACACTTTTGGCCCTGAAATCATTGAAAAGAATTCAATCATTGAATATAATTCAATCATTGAATATAATTCAATCATTATGCCCAGCGGTGTCTGGCCGCCCATTAGCTGATGGCTCTAAATGTTTGTACAAGCCGGTGACAGTTTTTAAACCAGCCGGGCGTCACGTGTTCCACGACAACTGTTTCATCTGACACTTTTTTTTTCAGGTGACGCAACAGGCGCGACCACATACACCCCACCCAAAATGGCCAGTCCTGACGCCATTGTGACGCATGAGGAAGGAAGTGCGGCCATTTTGTTTTGTTCGGTTTCCAATCTTGGTGACCACACGGTAAACTTTTGACTTCAGCATTGGTTAGGTCAGATAGTGGGGGAGTGGTCAAACAGCGGGGGGAGTGGTCAAATAGTGCGTGTGTGGTCAGATAGTGAGGGAGTGGTCAGATAATGGGGGAGTGGTCAGATAGTGGGGGAGTGGTCAGATAGTGGGGGAGTGGTTAAACAGCGGGGGGAGTGGTCAAATAGTGCGTGTGTGGTCAGATAGTGAGGGAGTGGTCAGATAATGGGGGAGTGGTCAGATAGTGGGGGAGTGGTCAGATAGTGGGGGAGTGGTTAAACAGCGGGGGGAGTGGTCAAATAGTGCGTGTGTGGTCAGATAGTGAGGGAGTGGTCAGATAATGGGGGAGTGGTCAGATAGTGGGGGAGTGGTCAGATAGTGGGGGAGTGGTCAGATAGTGAGGGAGTGGTCAGATAGTGGGGGAGTGGTCAGATAGTGGGGGAGTGGTCAGATAGTGGGGGAGTGGTCAGATAGTGGGGGAGTGGTCAGATAGTGGGGGAGTGGTCAGATAGTGGGGGAGTGGTCAGATAGTGAGGGAGTGGTCAGATAGTGGGGGAGAGGTCAGATAGTGGGGGAGTGGTCAGATAGTGGGGGAGTGGTCAGATAGTGGGGGAGTGGTCAGATGGCGGGGAAGTGGCAATGCGGGGAGTTGCCAAATAGTGGGGGAGTGGTCAAATAGTGGGAGTGTGGTTAGATAGTGGGGGTGTGGTTAGATAGTGGGGAAGTGGCCAAACAGCGGGGAGTGGCCAAAAAGCTGAGGGGGGGGGGAATAGCGGGGGAGTGGTCGGATACTGGGGTCAGACAGTAGGTAGTGGGCATATATCGTGGGAGTGGCCAGATAGTGAGAAGTGGCCAAATAGATGAGGGGTGGGGTGGCCAAATAACGGGGTCAGATAGTGAGAGTGTTGAGACAATCGGGGGGAGGGGGGATCGCTTGACGAGTCCGAAATATTTCCCAGACCTTAAAAATGGCGCCCCCAAAATTGTGAGGGGACAGCAAGGAGATAAAATGGCAGATTTGCATTTGACATTCTTGTCCAACAGAGGTCCCTTTCTGCATGACTGGTGACATGTGACGTCACCTGATTAAAAATGGAATAAAAAGCCTAGTGTTGAATGGGGGCCAAAATTTCGATTCGATTAATTTCATCCGAGAATCGTTCGTCTGCCGGCCCGGCATGCCCGGTCCCAGTGTCCATGGTTTTCAGGCGGACAAGGACAAAAATGGCGGACTTTGAATAATTGACGATTGCTGTTTGCACTAGGCTCGCGACTAAAAATATTTTCTATAATATTTATTCAAAGAAAACATCGCTTCAACAGCGGGATGGGCGGAGGCTCTTGGTCATGTGCACCCCTCGCTTCTATATGCACCCCTGCCTCCCACCCCTGCCTCCTATGTACGCCCCGCTTTTATGCCCCTCCGCATTACCCCCCCCCCCCCCCCCCACTAATCCACCACCCTAAACAAATTCTAAATTCTTCCCGCGGCAAAACGTCAGACACAGAAAACTGCTAAGTTGATTACTGCAGTAATCGGGCATTTCATTTCCAGTATTAGCTCGTAGGCAAAACAATTACTTGGTTAAACTATAGTCAAACGTGGAAACATTTCATTGGCTAGACAGTTGGTTAACATTGTATTGACTAGATCACTAACTAGGCGAGTGAATTCATTGGTTGGCCTAGACAAAGACTAGCCTCCACTTTCAAGACTTTAAGTTAGCTGCCACAAGTTAGGTTATCTGACTTGTTTTATTTTGATCAAATCTGTATTTGGTCCGAATCCGAGATTCCTATCCGGTTCAAATCCAACGATTTATTTCTAGTCCGAATTTAAGATTCTTTTCTGGTAAAATTAAGAAGACTGGTATCCTGTTCAATTTCGAATATTTCTTTTCAATTTCTATTTCCTATTTGGTCCAAGTTAAAATATTCCTATCTGGTCCAAGTTAAAATATTCCTATCTGGTCCAAGTTAAAATATTCCTATCTGGTCCAAGTTAAAATATTCCCATCTGGTCCAAGTTAAAATATTCCTATCTGGTCCAAGTTAAAATATTCTTATCTGGTCCAAGTTAAAATATTCCTATCTAGTCCAAGTTAAAATATTCCTATCTAGTCCAAGTTAAAATATTCCCATCTGGTCCAAGTTAAAATATTCCCATCTGGTCCAAGTTAAAATATTCTTATCTGGTCCAAGATAAAATATTCCTATCTGGTCCAAGTTAAAATATTCTTATCTGGTCCAAGATAAAATATTCCTATCTGGTCCAAGTTAAAATATTCCTATCTGGTCCAAGTTAAAATATTCCTATCTGGTCCAAGTTAAAATATTCCTATCTGGTCCAAGTTAAAAGATTCCTATTTGGTCCAAATTCAAATATCCCTATCCGAGGCATATCGATCTCCTGCCCCCCCCCCCCCCCCCGCACTGAACGTGATTAAATATTTCAGTAGAACAATGCCCGACACTTATGACGACACCAACCCCCGTCTACTCCTTTCTTCCAGCTTAAAAAAGTAATTAAGTCAAAGTATGTGCACCGCTGTGGCGTGGGTGCCTGAGTGCGTGTGCATCTGTGTGCGTGTGCATCTGTGTGCGTGCAGGCTCCATGACGTAGACAGTTAATAATTTGCATCGGCTACAAGTCTGGGTAGTGTTTTGTACACACGTCAGGCTGATGAATTTTTCAAGCGGGGTGGGGGTATGGGGTGGGGGTATGGGGTGGAGGCATGGGGTGGGGGCATGGGGTGGGGGCATGGGGTGGGGGCATGGGGATGGCGTAGGGGTGGGGTGGTGACAGGGGAGGTATTGGGTGGTGAATAGGGTGGGGGCATGAGGGGTGTGGGGCGTGATAACAGAGGAAGGGAGCAGTGTTTAAAAAGTATACCCCACGTCCAGAGGGTCGAAAATATCAAAGAGGTTGCTCTAAATATAGCGACATTCAGCTACCCAGCCAGGGTTTTGGGGTGTAAGTTGTGAGGTGTTGGTTGGGGTTGTAGGTTGTGGGGTGTAGGTTGGGTTTGGTGTTGTATGTTGTGGGAGTCGGTTGTGGGTGTAGGTTGGGGGTGTAGGTTGGGGTTGGGGTTGTAGGTTGGGGGTGTAGGTTGGGGTTGTAGGTTGGGGTTGGGGTTGTAGGTTGGGGGTGTAGGTTGGGGTTGTAGGTTGTGGGGTGTAGGATGTGGGGTGTAGGTTGGAGGGTGAAGGTTGGAGGGTGAATAGACTCATTAGCTTTCAGATAATTGTATGAATAGATCCATTAGACTGCAGATAATTGTGTGAATAGATCCATTAGACTACATATAATTGTGTGAATAGATCCATTAGACTACAGATAATTGTGTGAATAGATCCATTAGACTACAGATAATTGTGTGAATAGATCCATTAGGCTACAGATAATTGTGTGAATAGACCCATTAGACTGTAGATAATTGTGTGAATAGATCCATTAGACTACAGATAATTGTGTGAATAGATCCATTAGGCTACAGATAATTGTGTGAATAGACCCATTAGACTGTAGATAATTGTGTGAATAGATCCATTAGACTACAGATAATTGTGTGAATAGATCCATTAGACTACAGATAATTGTGTGAATAGATCCATTAGGCTACAGATTATTGTGTGAATAGACCCGACTGTAGATAATTGTGTGAATAGATCCATTAGACTACAGATAATTGTGTGAATAGATCCATTAGACTACAGATAATTGTGTGAATAGATCCATTAGACTACAGATAATTGTGTGAATAGATCCATTAGACTGTAGATAATTGTGTGAATAGATCCATTAGACTACAGATAATTGTGTGAATAGATCCATTAGGCTACAGATAATTGTGTGAATAGACCCATTAGACTGTAGATAATTGTGTTAATAGATCCATTAGACTACAGATAATTGTGTGAATAGATCCATTAGACTACAGATAATTGTGTGAATAGACCCATTAGACTGTAGATAATTGTGTGAATAGATCCATTAGACTACAGATAATTGTGTGAATAGATCCATTAGACTACAGATAATTGTGTGAATAGATCCATTAAACTACAGATAATTGTGTGAATAGATCCATTAGACTGTAGATAATTGTGTGAATAGATCAATTAGACTACAGATAATTGTGTGAATAGATCCATTAGGCTACAGATAATTGTGTGAATAGACCCATTAGACTGTAGATAATTGTGTGAATAGATCCATTAGACTACAGATAAGTGTGTGAATAGATCCATTAGGCTACAGATAATTGTGTGAATAGACCCATTAGACTGTAGATAATTGTGTGAATAGATTCATTAGACTACAGATAATTGTGTGAATAGATCCATCAGACTACAGATAATTGTGTGAATAGATCCATTAGACTGCAGACACATGAAGACCAGCAACTGTTTAATACAAAGACAGTCTGGGTCTTTTCTGTGGGATTCGGGCGGGACAGCAGTATCGAATGTCAATTTCTAAACGGATCAGCAGTAAGGATCAGCATTTCGTAAACGGGCCAGAAGTATCGATTGGTGTTCCTAAACGGGTCATAAGTATGGGGCAACAGTTCGTAATCGGGACAGAAGTATCGAGTAGGTTTCTAAACGGGTGGTACTAAACAGGCTTCAGGTCGCGCCGTCTGTAATCTTATGTCAGACCGCAGCACCAGATGAAGCCGCTCAAGGGAGAAAACCAAGGCTGAAAGATGGTCGTCTCCCCGCCCCAACACGGCACTCATAGTAAAACCAATCAAGTCAAAACGCCGTGCAGTCCGGCTTCCGGTTTACGGGGGGATAATTCGGTGCCGGGATGGAGTGGTTCGGGGGATGCATCATTTATTCCCGTGGGTGGGAGACCTGCTGTGTGGACAGCCCACAAGGTGACCTGAGTTAAGCCCCTTAGAATGGGATGAGCGAGTTGGTCCCCCTGAATTACGGACGGGAAAACCCAATATTAATAAATAGCTTCGATGGAGGAATATATTAGACTAATTGTAATTAGAATTACATCACCAGCCAAGGTTTTGACCTTTACGTTGGGAGAATAATTTGACACTATCTCAGCATGTTCTCCCCCCCCCCCCCCCCAAACTCCACTCCCTCCCTGTACCTCCTCTCTCCTCCACTATGCCTCCCCCTCTCTTCCCAGAAATAGAAATACATTGAAGGATTAGTCTGTGAAATTGTTTCTGTAGTAAAAAAAAATGATGGATGTCCGTGAAAGCCATCCACAATTTTGACAAGATACTTTTAGGCCCCTGCTAAGGTTTAACATTTTTTTGACAAGATATTTTTAGGTCCCTGCTAAGGTTTAACAAGTTTTTTGACAAGATACTTTTAGGTCCCTGCTAAGGTTTAACATTTTTTTTGACAAGATACTTCTAGGTCCCTGCTAAGGTTTTACATTTTTTTTGACACGATACTTTTAGGTCCCTGCTAAGGTTTAACATTTTTTTTGACAAGATACTTTTAGGTCCCTGCTAAGGTTTAACATTTTTTTTGACAAGATACTTCTAGGTCCCTGCTAAGGTTTTACATTTTTTTTTGACAAGATACTTTTAGGTCCCTGCTAAGGTTTTACAATGTTCTCACTGAGACCTGAGATACTTTGGGCACTAAAGAACATCACGTGACCAGACTAGATTGCTGGGGACAGTCCCGACCGTCCTATTAGTGACTGGCAGTCGGAGCCAGACCCAGAAGCGCCGGCACGCGATGCCTGACCCTGTCAGACCTCAAGACTCCCCCCCCCCATTGGCACAGCCACGCCTCGATATTCAATTGACCGACTTTTGAAAACAGGCTTTACCTGACAAGTGTATCACCATTTTACCTGACAAGTGTATCACCATTTTACCTGACAAGTATATTATCATTTACCTCTTAAGTGTATCAGCATTTACCTGTCAAACGTACCACCATTTATCTGACAAACGTATCACCATTTACCTGACAAGTGAATCACCATTTTACCTGACAAGTATATTATCATTTACCTCTTAAGTGTATCAGCATTTACCTGTCAAGCGTATCACCATTTATCTGACAAGTGTATCACCATTTACCTGTCAAGTGTATCACCATTTTACCTGACAAGTATATTATCATTTACCTCTTAAGTGTATCAGCATTTACCTGTCAAACGTATCACCATTTACCTGTCAAGTGTATCACCATTTTACCTGACAAGTATATTATCATTTACCTCTCAAGTGTATCACCATTTACCTGTCAAACGTATCACCATTTACCTGACAAGTGTATGACCATTTTACCTGTCAAACGTATCACCATTTTACCTGACCAGTGTATCACCATTTACCTGACAAGTCTATCACCATTTACCTGACCAGTGTATCACCATTTACCTGACAAGTGTATCACCATTTACCTGACAAGTGTATCACCATTTACCTGACAGGTGTATCACCATTTACCTGGCAAGTGTATCACCATTTACCTGACAAGTGTATCACCATTTACCTCACAGGTGTATCACCATTTACCTGACAAGTGTATCACCATTTACCTGACAGGTGTATCACCATTTACCTGACAAGTGTATCACCATTTACCTGACAAGTGTATCACCATTTACCTGCAGGTGACCTGGCGAAAGCTTCCAGCGTCCGCCCCGCTGACCATCGGCACCAAGTCTTGGACCAGTGACCGGCGGTTCCACGTGGAGCACGTGCCCAACAGCTCGGACTGGAACCTGGTCATAGAGCCCGTCCAGGTGTCTGACGCTGGGGACTTCGAGTGTCAGGTCAGCAAGCGGAAGTCCAGGATCCGGAGCAAGGTCACTCTCCTGGTCAAAGGTAGGTCACAAGGTCACTCTCCTGGTCAAAGGTAGGTCACAAGGTCACTCTCCTGGTCAAAGGTAGGTCACAAGGTCACTCTCCTGGTCAAAGGTAGGTCACAAGGTCACTCTCCTGGTCAAAGGTAGGTCACAAGGTCACTCTCCTGGTCAAAGGTAGGTCACAAGGTCATTTGTGCTGGTTGTTCGTTCTAGGGTCATTACACACAGACAAAATAACAGCATACAGCCATAGCAATACGCACAGCCATAGACACAAGCACACAGCCATAGACACAAGCACACAGCCATAGACACAAGCACACAGCCATAGACACAAGCACACAGCCATAGACACAAGCACACAGCCATAGACACAAGCACACAGCCATAGACACAAGCACACAGCCACAGACCCTGTCCCATATGTCGCTTAAGACAGGCGAGACATCTGAGACAGCCAAGACCTTGAGACCAGCAGACGTTTCAAGACAACCGGAACCAGGGGAGACCACTCGTGAAACTGTGACGTCAGCGCTCTCCGTCCGGTCAATAACAGGACGAAGTGGTTCCAAATCTTTGTGAGGGGGTTGGGGGAGAGGGTGGGGGGATGTGATCGAACTTGTTTACCGGAGTAGACTTAGTTGACTGACAACCTGACACCCTTCACGCAGTTCCTGAATGCACCCCCCTCCATGCAGATTCCCCCCCCCCCCATGCGCACTCTGCCAGTAACTGAACCTCTACTAGACTCGACCTTTGACCTCCCCGTGTTGACCTCCCGGCGTTCCCGTGTAGCCAACAATGATCCGGTTCTATCCACGTCCAACTTTTTAATACTGAAATATTGTGCCGACTTACTTGTAACCGCCATGACGTCATTTGTTCATGACGTCATTTGTTTTTGTTTGTACCAAAAACATGGAGCCACTGAGTGCAAGCAGGGATGACTTTATTTAGACATCACACATCACCCAACACATCACCCAACACATCACCCAACACATCACCCAACACATCACCTAACACATCATCCAACACATCACCCAACACATCATCCAACACATCAACTAACACATCACCCAACACATCACCCAACACATCACCCAACACACCCAACACATCATCCAACACATCATCCAACACATCATCCAACACATCACCCAACACACCCAACACATCACCCAACACATCACCCAACACATCACCCAACACATCACCCAACACATCACCCAACACATCACCCAACACATCATCCAACACATCATCCAACACCTCACCCAACACATCACCTAACACATCATCCAACACATCATCCAACACATCACCCAACACACCCAACACATCACCCCAACACATCATCCAACAAATCACCCAACACATCATCCAACACATCACCCAACACATCATCCAACACATCACCCAACACACCCAACACATAACCTAACACATCACCCAACACATCACCCAACACATCACCCAACACATCACCCAACACATCATCCAACACATCACCTAACACATCACTTAACACATCACCTAACACATCATCCAACACAGCACACATCACCCCAACACATCATCCAACACATCACCCAACACATCACCCAACACATCACCCAACACATCACCCCAACACATCACCCAACACATCACCCAACACATCACCCAACACATCACCCAACACATCACCCAACACATCACCCAACACATCACACATCACCCAACACATCACCTAACACATCACCCAACACATCACTTAACACATCACCTAACACATCATCCAACACATCACCTAACACATCACCCAACACATCATCCAACACATCACCCCACACATAATCCAACACATCACCCAACACATCACCCAACACATCACCCAACACATCACCCAACACATCACCTAACACATCACCCAACACATCACCCAACACATCATCCAACACATCACCCAACACATCACCCAACACATCAACCAAAACATCATCCAACACATCACCCAACACATCATCCAACACATCATCCAACACATCACCCAACAAATCATCCAACACATCACCCAACACATGACCCCACACATCACCCCACACATGACCCAACAAATGACCCAACACATCACCCAACACATCATCTAACACATCACCCAACACATGACCCAACACATCACTCAACACATCACCCAACACATCACCCAACACATCACCCAACAAATCATCCAACACATCACCCAACACATCACCCAACACATCACCCAACACATCACCTAACACATCACCCAACACATCACCCAACACATCACTCAACACATCATCCAACACATCACCCAACACATCACCCAACACATCATCGAACACATCATCCAACACATCACCCAACAAATCATCCAACACATCATGAAACATCCGACGACAGATGTGACAAACACGCGAATCACGACAGACATCTCATCAATCATCCATGAATCCACGCCCCAGCTCACCTGTCCCCCCAGCTCACCTGTCCCCCCAGCTCACCTGATTCTTTCACCTATTTCAGCCAGACCACACGCGCTGCTACCCCGTGAGTATTCCATTTACTTCCTCTTGTCTGCATGTCACTGGGGGGGGGGGGGGGTTACTAGCTGGTAGGTTTTACTGGCGACCACACGGCGGTGGGGGATTAGGGATTTATAGAACAGTGGGGACTTATGGGACTGTGGGTACTTATGGGACAGTGGGGACTTATGGGACAGTGGGGACTTATGGGACTGTGGGTACTTATGGGACAGTGGGGACTTATGGGACAGTGGGGACTTATGGGACAGTGGGGACTTATGGGACAGTGGGGACTTATGGGACAGTGGGGACTTATGGGACTGTGGGTACTTATGGGACAGTGGGGACTTATGGGACAGTGGGGACTTATGGGACTGTGGGTACTTATGGGACAGTGGGGACTTATGGGACAGTGGGGACTTATGGGACAGTGGGGACTTATGGGACTGTGGGTACTTATGGGACAGTGGGGACTTATGGGACAGTGGGGACTTATGGGACTGTGGGTACTTATGGGACAGTGGGGACTTATGGGACAG